TAGAGAACTCAGAAACAAATTCAAGTAGGTATGAGGATTTAGTATATGACAAGGGTGGCATTTCAAATCTGAGATAAAAATAGAATATTCAGTATGTATTAGAATAGCAGGCCAAGCATTTGGAATCAAGAACTAAAGCTCTACTTCCCTCCTTAAACCAGAATAAATCTCAGTGGATATAATATTTAAATTGAAGTGCTTTAGGAAACAGGATTACATTGTAGGTGAGAGTCCATATAAATTCTAGAGTAAGACAGCTCGGGCTTCCAGCCCACCTCTGCTAATCACTAGCTGTATGATCTTGGGCAAGTTACTTAAATCTCTCTGTGCTTCAGTTTAGCGAAAAGGGATTGATAAAGTAAGTGCCCACAGGGTTACTGAGGATTAAGTGAGTTAGCACCTGTAATGGACTTGGAAAAGAACCTGGCACGTGCAGGTGCTTTTTAAGGGTAACTTTTCCTCACCACTGCCACCACCAACACCATCACTAAAAATATGAAGCTATGAAAGACCAAAAGACAGTTTGGCAAATAGTTTTATAAACTTAGAGTTAGAGAAAATATTTTAAATCATGACGTAAAAGCCATACTCCATTGAGGAAAAGATGAATAGCTTTATATTTAAAACTTCTACGCCTGAGGAAAAAGGATTCTGAGCCTTGAGTGGAGCGCTGGAGGTGAGTAGGGATAGGCTGTCACAGTGGCACATTCTTGTAGGTGGCTAATATGGAAACTTCTTAGAGAAGCCAGGTAAGTACCCCGGGAGAGTATGTGTCAGTGTGTCAATCTTGTCTTGGTCTTTTTACTTAAGACAGGTGGATTTATTTGCTGGGGCTTTGGTAACAAATTACCACAAGTTAGTGCCTTCAAACAACAAAAACTTACGTTCTTTATTCAGTTCTGGAGGCAGAAATCTAAAAGCTCAGAACATATACCTATTGTAGAAGGAAATACCAAAGGTGTTTTAAAAACTACATACCGTGCCAATACTAGGCATTTAATTTGATTTTATCTTTTATGAAAGTATAAAACTTACCTTGAGTCTTTTAATGTTTATTCCCTTGATTCCATAATTCCATTCTTGGGATTCTAACCTATGGAAAACATAAGTTTGAAAAAAAAAAAAATTATTTCAAAAATATATTGAAGTGTTATTTGTAGTAATAATAACATGAAAACTGCCTAATTAAATGCAGGCGAATTGTAAAATAGGTGGTGATATATCAACCTGGTGGAATATTTCTAATCTATGAAGAGAGTATAGAGGAATATGAAAAATTCTATGATAAACTTAAGTGCAAAGGACAACATACAACAGTTACATGGTATTATACTCTAAAATGTGCAGAGAGTAAGACATTAAAAAGACATGCACGGTCATGTTAGTGGTGCTTGTATTGGGATTTTGTTTCTGTATGTATATTATTTACAGAAGACAACATTGATCAGACAAGATTATTAATGAGTGAAACAAAAGCAGTTTATAAAAATCTATTCAGTATACTCCTTGAATGTCGGTTCTTTGTTTCTGTAGACACTTCCATGGTGGCATTCAGGGTTCTCCTTAAAGGGGGATTCTCTTTGGGTAGATGAAACCACAGAGGTGAGCATTGCCCGAGGCATGAGGCCACTCTATTCCTCCAAAAAATCAGCTACCACTAGGATTTCATTCTAACCCTCAGTGCCTTTCTCTTCTTCCTTCTTATTAACACTTTTGATGAAGTTTTTAATTAAGACTGCAAAAACTAGTCTGGCTTCAGTTGAGATAGAGAAATGATAATGAAATTATTAAAGTTACTAGCATGATATATCAGTGTATACAAATATACACCATACATACATACATGTATGCATACACACATACACGCATACATACATACATACATACATACATACATATAGTGTAAAACACCTGAGTTTCCCCAAGGTTGTTCCATGTCAAATTTTTAAATTTTAATATGCTACCCTTCAGCCACTTATTGCGTGCCTAGTAATGTATAGTTTTAACTAGTTACTGATGAGTTAAATAATCAGAACAGTTTACCCATTTTTACCCAGTTTACAGCAGATAAAAAAAATTGCCTTTTTCAAATAACCTCCCCCTCCCCACTTTTGATGTTGTAAAGGAATATAATGTTGAAAATTTCATAGACTGCCCAAGAGGATATTGTGTTCTTTGGTGATTATTTGATCAAGTATATACTAACACAACACTCTTTGCTCCTGTTAAGTTACAAATGCCTGTTTTTTCAAGAAGGATTAAATATATGTTAAAAATTATTCTTTTAGTCAGTCTGGTAACCAGAATATTCTTTTTCTCACTTATTAGTGGGAGGAAAACGGTGATACTTGTCAGTTAAAAAAATAACTCTAATGGTTTTTTAAAGCTGTTACCACTCTGAAACCACTTTTTAAGATTACATTTTAGATCCTTTTATTAGTATATTTTAATAAGTCTTTTGTTCAGTTCATAGGACTTTCTTAATTGAGGGAAATAACTTTTTATTAAAATGTAGATGGTATACAGAAAAATATACACATCATTTGTAAATGGAAGTATTTTCACCAAGGAAGTGCACCTGTGCAGCCATTCCCAGAGTTGCGTCAGAAATTACCAGCATTCTCAGAGCCCTCTTTTGGTTACCGCCTCACCCCTCACACATAGCTAGGAGATCATTTTATTTTTTAATGTCTTAAAATGGTATTTTTCATGGAGCTAACCATTTGCAGCTCTGTGTATGCTTTAGGGGAATGGGAGCACATCTCTTCAGATACATGTTCCTGGTGCCCACTCACCACCAGAGAACCCGTAGTCGTCCACTATATCCCATTGTCCTCTCACTTGCCCCTACCCACTGCTCTCCCCTCTGGCAGTCTCAGTTCTGCAGTCAGAGGCCTGGGGCTGTTTGGGTTACTTTTGGAGTACAGCCTCTTAAAGTAAAGGATAATAAAGGAATATTCATGTGATTGCCTTTTGTTTCATCTTTAGCAATCTTTCAGTGTGCTTATTCTTGATTTTTCTTTGTTTTTAATTTAAATTTTTTTTAATATTACATATATTGTTATCAGTTCAATAGTAATATAAATCTTGCAACAAAATATAAGCTGCTTCCTGTGCTCTTTCCCTTACTCCTCAAGATCCTTCTCTCCAGTGGACATTTTTGCCATTTATACATTTCTGTGCTCGTAGTAATAGTTATATTCAGCCTTTTGTTATTAATCAAATTTGTTTTATCTTTTGACTTCCTGTTACAGTAAATGAATATTTAACTCTCTTGTATCAGTTCTTCTGCTACTTCCCTTTCTTACCTTGCCACTATGTTTATATTTAAATTTTTGGCTAACCAAATATACTGTTAACATTTTATACCAGCACATAAAGCCTTTAAAATATGGGTGTTACAGGATGCTATAATGGGGAGGGGGTAACTTTTTATGATGTTAATAACAGTGGTTGTTTTTGTGTTTTTCTTTTTGTAAACCTCTTGCCTACAATCATGATCCCTCCTGCATGCCCTCCTCCTCCCCATTTCTCAAGAATGCTGGTAATTTCTGATTCAACTCTAGGTGCAGTCACTAGCCACTGCAGTTACCTAGTTCAGCGAAATCTTCCAGTCCTGGCCTTGTGTAGATGGGGTCTTGTTGGTGCTCTTCTTTCTGGCTTCTTTCATGATAACACTTTTCTTTTGCTTTTATGACCACTGCTTTTTTGTCTTGTTAGTGCATAGACTACTCTTCATCCCCTCTTAAGTGCTGTGATCTTTCAGATTCCATCCTTGGTCTGATCTTTACTCAACACAGTCTCTCTAAAACATATACAGGAAAATATCAAAATACCTGCCATCACCATGAATGACTTCTCTTACATGTTCATCCAGTCAGGACTCTCTTTTAAGCTCCAGATCCATCTATTTCACCAGCTACTGAACACACAAACTGATAATATGAAAACAACTTTGTTATTGCTTCCAACCAGTGGGTCATGCAGAGGAGCAGGGGCCTGGAGCCCTCTCCTACCTGTGCCTGAGATGGACCCTTTTGTCTCTGCTGTCCCCACCTCACAGAAGTGGATGGTTGAGCTTCATTTTCTCTGTCTCCAGGAAGTTGCCTTGAAATATACCACTTCCTATAAACATGATGTGTGCCTCATGAAGTACCCACCTTAGGGGCTCCACTTAATCCATCTATCATAATTCATAGCTTCTAGGATAGAGTGCTAAGGACTACTGAGACCAAAAATTTGCTAAATTAGCAGTTCACGATTCAACAGTTAGGAAGAGCTTGAACTTCTTTAAGCAGAGTTAGAAAGTTATCACAACAGACCAGACAGAAAGCAATGAGGCCTAAGCTAAAGTAGGACAGACTGGACTCATTAGGAACATTGAGTCAATTCAAGCAGATGTGGCTGAAGTGAGAGAGAAGAGAAGTCAGACTGTGCTCAGTTCTTGGCTATACTGCAGCGGCAGGAGTGGGCAGGGTCCTGGGTCCTGTGCTGCTGCCGTGGACAGATGGAACGTGACCTACGTGTCTGGTAGGTGCTGAGGTGTCTGCTCCTGGGCTTCAGGAGTAGTGTCTGACTGTAAATGTGGTGGAGTGCTGAGGCTACAGGTGTGTATCAGGTCAGTCCGAAGAGCCCAGCACTCATTGTGAGGAGAGAGCAGCGCCGAAGAGAGGACCCTGTGGAAGAGCCTGAAGGAGCCAGGACACCTGGAGAGGTGGTCTGTGCCCTGCTGAGGAGAGCGCTTCAGGGGAGCTGGACTTCTTTTTTTTTTTAAATAATAATAGTTTATTTTTACATCACTTTGGGCCTTTTCCCATCTCAGTGACTTCTGTTTTTAAAAAAGTGTAAAGGGGGTGTTCTAACAGGACTTACAAGGCAGTTTATTGTCGTCTTGTTGATAAAGGTTGATGGTTGGTTGCTCTTTGTCTTTTTTTTTTATTATTATTATTATTACTGTTTGCTTCTTTCTAGTTTACTGGTCTCTTCTGTATGTTTTCGAGGTCCTTACAATTCTGGTCCGGGCAGTGACTGATGGGATGACCGATCGAAGCGGAGATGTCGCCACCAGCCTCAAGGGGAAGCTGCAGGAGTTATTTGGCAGAGTCACTTCAAAAGTGACAAATGATGGAGAAATCTGGAGGCTGTATGCCCAGGTATATGGAAATGGGCAGAGTGAAGAGCCTGATGAAAACGAAAAAGTAAGTCCCTCTTCTTTTGTAGTGGAGTTCCTTTTTTTCATGGCTGGAAGAATTGTGTAATAATTTGAAAGATAAGGCTAATATGCTTTTAATTTTCATTCGGGGCCTTTCAACACTGAATGGTGGATGGTTTAAGATTTGTCGGCATTTATTTCCATGGTTTTTTTCTTTTATATCATTCTGTTTTCTGCAAAAGGTTCTTCTCTAAGCTGTGTTCCTAATGGAACTGCAACAAACAACTGGCTCGTGTTATTTATTTACTCCATACCCCTTTTGGCAGGTTCACTGCTGAAAGACTAAGGTAGATTTGGTAGGTACAAGGACGGAAGAGTGTTTAGATCGGTGATGAGGGAAAAAAGAAAGAAACAGGATAAGAACATTGGAGGAGAGCTTTTCAAGTCTAAACATGAAGCACAAAGGTTGCCTGCCCCTCTTTACAAGTGCATGGAACACGGGCTACACTCAAGTGATGCCTTTAGCTTCTTATCTTAGAACTTAAAGGAGACCCAGAGTTTCCAAGGTAGAAATAATTTTTTGTGTTCTTTACAGAACATCCACAACAAATCAAATGAACTCCTTGCATGCTTGGAATTCACCACAGTACAGCTACTGAGTGGGATTCTTAGTCATTTTCACCTCCCTTAGTCTGGCTCCTACCATGGCCTTATTAGCCCAGAGAACATACACCCCTCCACCCCACCCACCCCCCCACACACGCACACACTCCTTTCTGACCTTCCGTTTCTTCTTGATTGATGTGTTTTCTTGCATAAATGGAAGACTACTGTGAACTCTGATCTGTGACTCCTCCTCCAAGAATCTACAAGGATGGGTTGTGAAAAAGCATTTTAAACCTCTGTGAGTTTACACACTTACCAGCAATTCTGTAGTTATAATCAAGTTTGTGCCTCATTCTCAAAAGAGGTCTCTTAAATTCATGGTTACAAAGGATAAGGAAATATGTATGCTTTTTATAGATTTCCAAACCTACAAAACCTTATGTCTCTCTTTATAGTGTAGTGTCTCTGTGTGGGTACATTCACTTGATTCTTTTACTTGCTTATTGCTGTGGGGTGTGCATCTAGTTCCCTTCTTTGATGAGAGTAATAGAGACTGCTTTGTAGCACAGATCCTGGTTTTTCAAGTTGGAATTAGTTCCATATGACTTCCAGGAAACAGTTTTGCAATGTGCATTCTACTTGGTATTCTGAATGTTTTTCTTTTTTTCCTTAGGCATTCCAGTTTCTCTCTAAGGCATACAAGTGTGACACACAGTCCAGTTGTTGGGAGAAAGATATTACATCATTTAAGGAAGTGGTTCAGAGAGCCTTAGGACTCGCACATGGTATTTGGTACAACGTTTGATATTCATGCCATATTTTTATGTACTTCTACTGTTTAAAAAAGGATTAGTCAAAAGTAAAGTTCTTCTATCTATAACTTCAGATTAGTTCATTATGTTGAAATCATTGTCTTTAACAAGCATTTATAAATCAACTAGTATCGAATAGACACTTTAGCACAATTAGAAGAAATGAGAGACTTAAGCTCTATTGGAATAAGTGACAGGCATTAGAGACTACTGCAATAGTGACATTAGAAACTTAATGTGAAACGCCTTTGTGACTGCATCTGGCCATCACACCATCTATTGTGTTGATATGTAGTTGGAATGTTACCTTTTCCTGATTCATTCCTTCCTTTTAAATTTATATTCATGAAAATGTCATAGATATCTAGAGTACATGACAATATTCAAGAGCTGCGGTATATACAAAAGAAAGGAATTTATGATCTAATACCTATCTTTGGGGAATTTTGTAAGTGATATTTGAGGAGACGAATGACCCTACATATAAAGTTGTATGCCTATATGTTAGGTAAATATATAACCATAAAACCTGTGTTTAATTATTGGCATCAGTGAAAAATAAACCAGTTACATTTAATAGTGCATTTTTATATTTGTATTTGAATTTGGGTGTGAGGCAGTTCATATAGAGTAATGCAGCCACAATGTTCAGAGCTGAATTATAAGGACTGTGAGACATCCTAAAGTCCTTCTCTGACTTCTGCAACTAAAAGGGAACCAGTGAGAAGAATGTAAAGGGCAGAGCTCTCAACGCGCAGGACCTAAGTGTGGGAACGATTCGCTGACTGTGGGTAAACCACTTAGCTTCTCTGAGCCTTAGTTCCCTCGTTGGGTAAAATGGAGATAATACTTATCTATGGTTGTTAAGAAAAATAAATAAAACATGTTAAATACTTTACAGTATCTCCCACACATGGTTTTAATGTTAATCCCTTACCACCTTATGTTCCTTCTCGGGCAGGGGATCTGAGCTATGTGATAAGGGACTCAGAACTGAAAAGAGAAAAACAAAGACCAAGGATAAAATTTAACTTGCCCCTAAAGAAGTCACTTGGCATTTAAATAATTTAGAAATGGGCTTAGTAGTTAATAATTCTACTTAGGGCCTATACTACAGTTGACAAAAAAGATATAAATACCTTTTTTCCTGAACCACCTTCTCCATTACAGATAAGGCAGAAATGTTAAATGTTAAGTCTGTAACTGAAATTCGGTGTAGGAAAGGTTGGGCGATTGCTGAGAGGCCAGTGATGGGAGGGCTTTGGTGGTGGGGGGGAGCTGGAATTTACATGGCCTGTGCTAGTTTCCTGGCAGGTGGGCTCAGAGGAAGTTCAGGTTTATGCCCTTGGCCTTTGTAGATACAGTACTGTGCTTGGGGAAGCCCATGCGAAGGTGCATTATGTGCATAGTTAATAGTAGGCTGCAATTAAATTTGAAGAATTTACCTTATCTACTTCAGCTTGCCAAACCTGAACGTTTCTGTGAACAGCTGGATCTGTAACAGCCCAAGCCAGGACACTCTGTAATTACCAAGAGATGGCATTAAACCTGTCAAGTAGAAATATGTAGAGTAAAAAACGACTCTGAGGAAATCTTTACTTTGCACTGTAAAGTTGGTTTTAAAAAGTTTGGCACACATTTTTTTCATGGTGTGGCTCTAGGCCGAGCCGCACAGCAACTATTCACTCGCGTTCCCTCCGGCTTCAGCAGATGTCCCTGCGCCATCCACCACGTGCCACGCGCGGGTGGGTGCATAGCTCTGGTTTCTAGTGGTGCTTTAGATTTGTGGAGATTAGTCTTTACCTTTTCTCTGTTGCTTTTGTTCACCTGTGCTCTGTGGAAGAATGAGCCGGCTCATTCTGTTCTATTATTTAGCTTTACACCCCCCCCCCCCACTATTCTCCACCTCTCACGATTCTAAAAGGAAATATAACATTAAAAAAAAACAAAAAACACCTAATTTATTGCCTGTTAGGTGGCTGTGTTGCTGTTTTTCAGAGGAGCCAGGCACTTCAGAAAGTCAGTAAGACATTGCAGTCTCCGCGTGGTGTGGAGACCTTCCTGGGACACTTGTCACCGTGCCCCCGTTTGGGTTGCCTGCAGGGTGTTGTGTGCTGTTCTGTTTTCTGGGGAAGGGTAGGCAGAAGTCTATTCCCTTTTTGCCAGCCAAGAACTTTCAAAAATAATAGCTAAGTATCTAAAAAAAAAAAAATAGCTACACCTTTTAAATGTAGTCTACCTAAAGCGAGCTCTGCTTTCTTGGATGCCGATGATTTGAAATAGTAGGTTATTTCTCGTGTCTTTCTCAATCTGTCATGCCTTTTGGAAATGGAATTGAAGAGGACGCCTGATGGCCTGTGTTTGTATGTTTTGTTCTATTTTTGTTTTTCGTGAATGGAAATAAAAAACTAAGGAAGAAATCACAGCTGTTTCTGATATAAGTAAGTGGATCTTAAGCAGTTTAAATACCTCAGGCATGACAGTTATAACTACATGGTAATCCTCACGGTCTCCAGGTAAACTGCTGTATGAGATTAACATTTCCAATTACCATGCATTCTCTCAGTCCTTCCCTGAGATAGCTAAAGCTTAATTATTCTTCTGAACTAGGAATGTCAAGCCTAGTTCATGGTTCTTACTAGCCATGGAAGATGTCATTAACTAATGACAAAGGTTTTTGCAGGCACAGGCAGCCTCCACCAGCTAATCTGAGTTTTTGTGCAAAACTAGAGACATTTTCTAGGATACAAAGTGAACTTTTCTAGGATACAAAGTGAACTTTCGTTGTCTAGTTGCTTAGTGTAGTTTTAAAGCTGGGTCTATTTTGATTTGCTTGTAGTGAACATAATTTTTTGAAAGATTTATTTATTTATACGTACAGATCTGGGGTACAGGCCAGAGGTGCAGGGGCAGGGAGAAGATTTACCAGAGACAGAGTGGGGAGCAGAACAGGCAGATTGACAAAGTACACTGCTGAGGGGAACAGTGGGTGAGACAGGAGTGGTCTGCTGTGCCATGCGGGTCACCTGAGGGGCCTAGGATCGAAGTCACATCGAAGTGGCTTCGGCTCGCTTGCAGTGCTGCATCCTAACCCATTGTGTCACCAGGGAGAGCCCAGTGAACATAATTTTAAGGAAACAAATTAGTGGAGGAGTAATAGGCATCATACTTTTACAAATATCTTCACTTATTCTTATAAAACCTTAGTAGCTGGGTCTTTCACCAGCGTGGATTATGCCACCATCAGGAATTCCAGTTCTGTAAAATGAATTCCTCAGAATGCTGGAGACAGAGGTGACTGGGTAAAGTGACTTCATCCTCTCACCTGTAGGGGCCTGGTGGAGTGGGAGGCCACACAGAGGTGCTGCTTCTGTTTCGTCCTTTCTGGGCACCTTGCCTGGTTTGTTTAGTCTGTGCGTGTGTGTGTGTGCGTGTATGGAGGGGGGGTCTCTTCCCAACAATGTGTAATTTAGCAAAAAATCACCTATTTTTCTCAAAATCCTCCAGATAGCAATAAAAAAAAGGGAGAGAATTATGTAATATTTATTAATCCTTTTTCCAAAATAAAAACTTCATATATAGAAATATTGCTAAAATCTGTTAATGTTCTAATTAACTAATTGTTTTTTTGTACCTATAAATCACTACTGCCAACTTTAATGAATGTTTTTCTCCATGTTGATCTTTCAGTGGCTATCAAATGCAGTAAAAACAAATCTAGTCCCCAAGAGGCTGTGCAAGTGCTTTCTTCCGTTCGACTTAACATACGGGGCTTGTTATCTAAAGCAAAGGTGAGAGTAAAAAGTGAATTAATTAGGATTGTGATTTTAGCTTTGGTCAGCTTGTAATATAGTTTAGAGATCAGCCCTCCAATGGTTATTTTCTCTGGTGAGGATGTTCTGGGCCTAGTGGTTAGATCACATGAGTAAGTTAGAGCCTGAAATTAGCATTTAGATTCAAACCTCTACTGCTTTCTTTAATTTAAATGAAAACAGTGCTCTTCCAGTGCTATCTTTTCCCAAAGCTAGGCATATATTTTGGGTAGCACTGGGGAAACTTACACACACTGGTAGCACTAAGGCAAACTGTTAAATTAGTATACATTTATTCAGTGCATATTAGGAGAAGTGTAGCTAGCACATCAAATCTACACTTTCATAATAATATTGCTTATTTTCCATTTAATGTTTTCCTTAGCATACTTAATTAAGTGAAAAAGTTGATCTAGAAAAATATGGATTTGATAAAAATTTTAAAGTAGTTGGGAAAGTAATGCATATACTATCAGTTTGTAAATCCTGTTTGTGGACGGGCATGTGTGAAAATCCTCGTAAAACTTTTTTCTAGGTCTCTACCTGTGACAGATTACACAGGGTACAGTCTGGGAAACCTGTGTTAAATTTCCTAGGTGCTTCTGCTCTGCATTCAGGTTCACATTCTACCTCTTGAAGCAAAATCTGAAGCAGTAAGACTAGGCACAATTTAGTATCTTTTAAATCTTTACTTGCCATCATAACTTTATTGTGGGTTACAGATCAGCTTCAAATTGTAGCTCACTACTGAGGGCAAGTTTGTAGCAAGTTAAGATTCCTTCTAGACATAGATAAAACCCTTTCCAGAATATGCCTTTTTTAAATTGCTTGACCTTTTCATATCAGGGTGTCATCTTTGCCTCTTCAGATTATTAACTTGCTTTGCTTCCTTCTTAGTATGCATGTGAGGTTTCTGTAGTCCGTAGGTTTCCATAGTCCACCTGAAAGATCCATATTTCCTGCCAGGTTGGTGACACAACTTGAGGATGATGTGTCTTGGGAGGCCACAAGAGCCTTCTCAAGGAAAATCTACTTAGGGCTTCCTGGTTTCCAGCCGATCACTAATCTGCCCATGGTTTTCAGGTTTTTTCCTATTCTTCAGGTGTGCTCAGCTGGTTCCCTTATCTCCATGCAAATTTTTTTTATAAGTTAATAATTTTATATTAAGGGTACTTATGTGACTTAAATAATTTTGGCTGTGTAGTTTACTGTCTGTCCTTCAATATTGTAATAGATTCCCAAACATTGAAAACAAGACCTCAGAACATGTTTTTTTTTTTTTTAAGATTTATTTATTTATTTATGCACACAGAACTGGGGTACAGACCAGAGGTGCAGGGGCGGTGGGAGGATTCACCAGAGATAGAATGGGGAGCAGAATAGTCAGATTGACGAAGTACACTGCTGAGGGAAGCAGCCAGCGAGACGGGAGAGGTCACTGTAAGGTGTGCTGGGCCTTGTGGGTGGGGATCGAACTTGCACTGAAGCAGCTGCGGCTAGCTTTGCAGGCTAACTTTGCACCACTTTTGCTTCAACCCATTGTGACACCAGGGAGGGCCCGACCTCAGACCATTTACATTTTGTTCTCATTAAATCTAGGACATTCAAGATAGGGAAAAACAGCTTCCCAACATCTTCTTTGAAAGCATCTTTTTGTATATGATGTTTAGGAATCTCTAATTATGTAGTAGATCATATGCCTCTCGATTTTTTAGAAAATAAAATTTTTTCTAATGGGGTTGCTTAAATGAATTGCATTTAAAGAAATAAAGCTTCCTTACAAAACTTATAAAAACTGAAAATTAACTGTTACATCGGTTGCAAATGGCTTGATTTATGAGAATCTTTTGCCTTTCTTGCCAGAACAGCCCCTAGGACCTAGAGTCTCACCTAGGTGCATCTGGTCAGCACTCCAGGGTAGAGTGACTCCTTGGCCCCTAACACCCTGTGCATTTACAGTGGGCCAAGAGGGTGCCTGGTTGAGAGCCTGGACACAGAACTAATTCTACCACTTAAAATCTAGGGATCCTCAGCACACCGTTCATTCTTCTGTGCTTCATTTTCTCTCTGCTTTCTCCATATAGTTAAGTAATCAGATTCATGGTGACTTGCAAACATTGTAATTTTTAGTAAAACAAAATATGGTCTGTAAGTCGAAGTTATTTTCCTAAAGGTATTTTCTCTCCTGATCACATTGCAGCAGTTTCTGTGACATTTTGTTAGAAAATGCTGAGCAAAGTGTGACTACACAGTAATGTGAGAAATGTTTATTAAACAAGTTTGGAGTTCTTCAGTGAATGCTCTTTGCTCTAAAAAAATCACTAGGCACAACTCTAAGCTTATCCTACCGATGATACCATCACTGAAGATATCTTGGTACTTTCTTTTAGAATAGCTGTCAGGACGATTGTCACATACCCCCATTATGGTAGTGATGGCATTTTAATGCTAACTTGATTTTTGTAATTAGTCTTGTAGTCACATCTGATGAGAAATATATATGAAAAGGTGAGTAATGTACATTTCTGATTACATGTGCATGCACAATGCAGTCATGAGTTCCTGAAGCTGATTTTCTTGGGTGCTGGTATAAGCTCCATGGGCACTTTCTAGAGAGTGGTAGCATTATAGTTAGTCCTGGAACAAGCTCCCTGAGGTGAGGAGCTTACGGGTACCGACTCCCTGAACACTGTGTAATAACTTTTGACTACCCACAGAACTTATTAACTAACTGTAACTGTTGACCGGAGCCTTGCTGTTATCATAAACAGCCAATTAACATATGTTTTATATATTACATACTGTACACTAACAATAAAACAAGTCAGACAAAAGGAACTGGTATTAAGAAAATTCACAACGAAGAGAAACGCCATTTACTGTACTGAACTGTATTTATCAATCTTTTAAATTTGTCTGCACAATGAAATCACCTGCCGGAACATCCATCACTATTGTTTTATATAACACACATATATGTATATATATATATAACTACTGTGTTATATAATGCAATACACTATAGATGTTATTTATATTAGTAATACATTTTCCAGTAAACTTATTGGGAAAAATCCATGTGTAAGTGGCCATGCAGTTTGCATCCATGGTGTTCATTGTCTTGCTGTATTGGAGCACATGACTGCGTGCTTCTTGAGGCAATTCCTTTTCGAGAAAGAAGGCACATTTATTTTTATTTTGCTGGGCTTTTTTGTTTTTGTTTTTACCAAATTTTGATCATCTTTGTGGCCTCTGAGTTTTAAGCCATAATTAATTTTTATATTTTTAATTTTTAGAAAGATTTTATTTATGCATACAGAACTGGGGTACAGGCCAAAGGTGCAGGGGCGGTGAGAGGATTCACCAGAAACAGAGTGGGGAGCAGAACAGGCAGATCAACGAAGTACACTGCTGAGGGGAGCAGCAGGGAGACAGGAGAGGTCTGCCACGCCATGTGGATCACCTCCAGGGCTGGGGATCAAACGGGCACTGAAGCGGCTGAGGCCAGCTGGCAGTGCTGCACTCCAAGCTGCTGCGCCACCAGGGAGGGCCCCATAATTAATTTTTAAATAAGGAATAAAATGGGTATGATTTTTACAAATTTGACTATAAAATTATGTTTATTTTGATTTGTATAAACAGTCAGTAGATCTGTTTTGTCTGGCTGAGTAGTGTCTGTTCATCCAAAAACTATCCCATGTTATTGTAATAATAATCATCTTCAAGGCACCCTTTTTGAAGAGCAGAGTTCATTTGGATTTACAGAGTTAAGCATATTGTTTTGATTTATTGTTTAATTGCAATTTGTACATTTCCAGAGTGACAGAACAGATATTACCATTGCTTTTACCACTCTTGTGGTGTTATTACAAAAAGGGATTTTAATTCTATACTTGGTATCTTTTATTTTAATGAGAATTTTCATTGTTTTGATAGTTCTGTTTTGTTCTTTATGTTGTAGCAACTTTTTACAGATGTGGCAAGTGGAGAAATTTCTGGAGAGATAGCTGATGAAATAGCAACTATGGATACTTTGGTAATGGAGCTCCAAGATCTGAGCAACCAATTTCGAAATCAGTATTGACCATCCTGGGAACAGTTTCTGGAAAAAGTGCTTTTGCTTTCTGGAACATAACTTATACCTGTGTATCTGAAGTAGAAGAATCTAATTTTTAAATAAATTTCTTTTTTATGGCTTACATTTTTGATCTTGTGATTTTCCCAAATGTTTTGAACTTTCTGAAGTACATTAAATAGGCTTAGTTACAGCTAAATTCAGTATTTTTATTATTCTTGAGGTATCTCAGCACAAAAAGCGAGAAAATTATATTTTTCTTTTTAGCATTGGGTTTAGACTCTCAGCTTAATGTGAATTAGATCATTCTTTGGAAAACTTCAGCCTAAATAGGAAAAAAGTACACATACTACAAGATTGTGGACTCATTAGATCAGCTGCTTTATTATCCAAAAGTGATAAAAAGGTAGATTGGGTGACAGAAACCTTGACACTTATTGAGGTCTTGTATTTTGTCAGAAAGATCTAGCACTGGCTAAATAAGAAATGTGGGTATAGTTTAATTACTAAATCAGGAAAATGCAAGAAAATACATGACATAACCCAAATATTGACTCCACCATTAGCCACTAGTAACCAGACTGGCCCTCCTTATTGTGTTTCCTGCCAGCTTTAGAGATGGTTGTTTAATAATATTATTATGGGTGAAGACAGCTATAAATGGTGCCATATTACAAAAAATGCCAAAGTAAAATGCCTTCTTAGTAATGTCTGTGGAGACAAATATTGAAGGCAGCAGCTGAGCTTAATAATCTTACTACAAAAGGCACAGTGAGTAATTCTAAGACCTGGCGTGGGTTGCTGAATTTTGGGTCCGTGTGTCAGTCATTTGATCCTTGATTTTCTCCATGTTCTTATTTATAAAATGTGAGTATTTTCTATTCCTTTCTTCTTTGTGAGTTTCAACTGCTGTTAGAAATTTAAAAATACATAATCCATCACTGTGAGTATTCTGAACCTTATACAGTCTTTAAGAACTTTTGTCAATGAATCTTGCTAATGAATGCTTACCCATGCTTTCTTTCCTTAACCACTGGGTTTCTAGTATCAGCCTTAATAAAGAAGAAAAGTTGGTTTTCTTCTACAGGGCTGACAATAACTGTGCGAAGACTAATAAAATGAGGTAATAGCATGAGTTAATACAAAGTGCCCACTCATCTTTTATGGAAACCATGGGGGAATAGCTGGGTGGATGGCTAGTTGGAAGGAAGGAAGGAACAAGCAAACGTTCAGGATTAATTCTTTGTCAACACCTCACTGAAAAATCAAGAGAAAATGGGTCGATTAATTCTGAAAAGGGCAAGGAATTCAGGAATCAAATGGAAGATTGAAAACTTTCCAAATTTTGGAAGTTTTTGGTTCTTTGGGCTCAAGGTAGAAAGGCATCAGTGGAGGGAAGAGCCGCAAACCTAGTTACAGCAGCGCCATCCCTGCCATCCCGGAAGTGCTGTGCTGAGCTGTCGCCAGGGCACCACCCTCTGCCCTTTTCCTCTTGCAGTGGTTTCACAAACGAGGAGACTGTTGGATGTCTTCTTTGTAAAGCTTGGACCTGTTAGTTATAGTTAATAATCTTAGGTCAGTGTTTGACATCCTTGAGGGACATGGGTGTGAGCTAGTACGGTAAAGTGAGAAAAGCATTCTATGAGAACCTCTTTTCTACCATTTAACACTTCATACTCAGGTTCTTGATTTCTTCATCTGAAATAAGTATGATGATAGTTGGGTTCTTAAAATCTCTTTTATTACTCAGCTATTACTACCATAGTGCACCCACCACACACTCACCTATATTCCACCACCACAGACTCACAGACTTCCTTTCTACTTTTTCCTTTCAAATTTATTATTTGTTTTTTTTTTTTACATCATTCTTCATTTTGTGCATTTTTTCATCTCAATGTAATCCCCATGGGCTTCCTACCACCAGTTCACCCGTGTACCATGACCACAGTCCAGTGCACTCTTCCCACCCCAATTCCAATCCCATTCCCCTTTCCACCCCTGTAAAATGTCTCTGGTTTATGGTTGTTTATTATTTTCATTTTTACTTTATTACAATTTCTTCTCTCCACCCTTCCACCACCACCCCCCATCACTTACGCTCCAGCTATGAGTGAAAACATCCAGTATTTTTCTTTTTTTCTGGCTTATTTCACTAAGCATGATCCCTTCCAGCTCCATCCATGTTGCTGCAAAAGGCATGAGTTTATCTTTTTTGATTGCTGAGTAATATTCCATTGTGTATATATGTACCACATCTTTTTAATCCAGTCTTCTATTTGGGTTGATTCTACATCTTCCCTGTGTTGTAAATAGAGAAGCAGTAAACATGGGGGTGCAGGTGTCCTTTTGAATCGATGTTTTTGTATCCTTTGAATATATACCTAGGAGTGGGTTTGCTGGGTGATATGGAAGCTCTATTTTTAGTCACTTGAGAACCCTCCAAACAGCTTTCCATAGTGGTTGTATTAGTTTGCATTCCCACCAGCAGTGCAGGAGAGTTCCTTTTTCTCCACTTCCTCATCAACATTTGTTGCTAGTTGTTTTAATATATGCCATTCTCATTGGTGTGAGATGGTTTCTAATTGTGATTTTAATTTGCATTTCCCAAATTACAGGTGAACATTTTCTCATATGCCTGCTGGCCATCTGCCTTTCCTCTTTGGAGAAGTATCTTTGTAGCTCTTCTGCCCATTTTTTGGGGCTGTTCACTTTATTTTTTGTTGAGTTTAATCAATTCTTTGTCACTGGTATTGTGTGCAAATATTTTCTCCCAATCAGTAGGGTGTCTCTTTGTTCTGTGTAGTGTCTCTCTTGCTGTACAGAAGTTCTTTAGCTTGATGTAGTACCAGCTGTTTATCCTTGCCTTCATTTCCTTGCTTTCAGTCTTAATATCTCTGATAGCACATTCATCTAGCTGCAGAGTCAGTAACACAGTATCTGTATAACAGTTATATTTTATTTACTGTGGGGTCTCTGGTGCTTCTCATTGATAAAATAGGATTTACATACTTGTTTGCTAATGCCTTTCATAAATTTCAACTCTGATCTTAATTGTTTCAGAATTATTGTTTTGCTTTGTCAAGTACAAAAGTGTAAAAGACATGATCCTCATCATTATTGAGTTCTCACAGCATGAACAATGGTGCTAATAGATACTAGTTAATTGAGTTCTCAATATAAAGTAGCTTTGTGGTATAACCAGGAGACAAAAGATCACAAATTCTAGAAAGACACAACCAGAATTCAAAGACTCATAAAGCTTGCATTCTTCATACTTGCTATGTAGGGCTAGAAAAAGCTTTCCATTTTTTCACTGATTTCTGTTTTCTCTTTCTAACAGCCAATTATTACAAGTTTGCCTGTCATTTGTTTATCTAGTTCTGCAAGGAGAGAAACTCTGTGGGATCTTAGTTAATAATAGCCTGTGGCCTTTTAAGATTAGTCATTTAAAATAAATTTTAATAAATTCTTCATTAATCTTTTCCAAAGAGGCAGCATAGTAAATGGGGACTGTAGCTTCAGAAGAATCGATAAAGAATCCCTCTTCACACCCAAACCCCAAACTCAGGAAGCATGGAGCCTTGGTGCTGAGTCTGGAGAGCAGAACCATGGCAGAATGGTGAGTAGAGTGGAAAAACCAGGATGGAATTTGAGGTGCTCATCTAGGGGTGGAGCTTGGCCTCCCCTCAACTGGCGCCACAGTGTGGTAATGACAACTCCAAACAGTGAAAGCATTGACTTAATTGTGTAGCAAGACGGTTTTCTTCATGTTGTGCTTGTTTCTGTTGGATGTACTATCAGTGTGCTATTCACAGCAGAAAGGTGAAGAAATTATGTAAAGAGTATGTGTAGTAAATCCCCCTACTTTCCAGACTAAATTCAGAAGTTGGGACATAAAAAGAGGCATGGCTAGTTTGGGCTATTTGTGACTATTTATCCAAATTACGGTAAGTCTGCTAGGTTAAAACCCTGGCTGAGTATGATGAAAAGTATTCATTTTTTTCCATTTCTGTTTTTATAACATCCACATCAATCTAAATCACTGTTTAGATAAGGTAACTTTACTGGCCAAGAGTGAGGAATAAAACCTGTTAAGTGGATGCAACACACTTCCTTTCTGCTGTTCATTCAACAGGCCCTATAGTGAAAAGGCAAAGAACCTTTATTCAAATGGTGGGCACCATGCTGTGGTGATACAGATGGATTTTTCACAACACGCAGAGGTGCTTATAAATAGATAGGTTTCAATCAACAAGTAGCTTATTCAGGCATGTGCTCAAATATAGTAGCTGCATTCATTAGACAGACATTTCCACTAATCCCAAGACTATACTAATAAAAGAATAATCCCTTATGGACTAAAGGTAATGCTGGCTTGCTTTTAACTCTTAGAGTCTTCCATAGATGAAGCATAATAATTGTAACTGCATTAGGTTTTCACCAATTGAACTATAAAGCCGAGCTTATCTTGCAATTTTTTCTTTTTTTTTTTTTAAAGATTTATTTATTTATGCATACAGAACTGGGGTACAGCCAGAGGCTCAGGGGCGGTGAGAAGCGTCACAGAGACAGAGTGGGGAGCAGAACAGGCAGATCAACGAAGTATACTGCTGAGGGGAGCAGCGGGCGGGTCAGGAGAGGTCTGCCACGCCATGTGGTCACCTCAGGGGCAGGCGGGGATCGAACTCATGCGGAAGCGGCTTTTAGATTCTCAGTGCTGTGCTTTAACCCGTTGCGCCACCAGGGAGGGCCATTTTTCTTATTTTTTAAAATTGTAATTTAGTGAGAAAAAGGTACTTCTTATTCTGGATGTACAGCTTGCAGCAAAGTCAATTTAGAAACTAATTACATATGTACATGTGTGTGTCATTATAAAGTACCTCTTTTACAGTGATCAAGTGGTGAATATCAAGTTTTTCTTGGGGCAAATTCTGATTACTTTAGGATAAACCTTGGACAATTTGTTGTTTGACAAGTTAGCATCCATTTTCAGAAGAGTTGCACACTGAGGAGAATGGTTGAACTTTCTATGTGCGCCTTCTTTTCCTTGGACTTGGCTCTGTGCAGTACTTCATTCCAAGCCAGATAGTCGGTTTGCTTAGGATGACACCAGTATTTTTC